TTTCCAGCATTTGCAAGTGATGTATACCTGAAAAACGTCGACCTTCTGAACGCGGGGATGCCAACTGTGTAGTCTGACACAAATGCTTTGCCGGCACTTCAAGAACTGTTCACATGTATTGTGCCAATGTTGCGTCATTAATATGTGTTTGCAGGGATTATAATATAATCAAGATATCCTAAATATTCGATGTCTTTACTACCTTAGTAACTATGTCTTTAAATCTAAAAATAAAAATTATATCAATCATCACTACCAAATAAGACATAATCTTAATAACATGATCATGGTCCATTTAAAAGGTATGATGCCAACCAGAGATTTACTGCAACAATAGCACCCAAAAATTTTCAACATACAATTGGGTATTAAAAGGTTTGTTGAGCAGTGTAAAATTTTAATTTTTGACGAGGGGTAAACACATCCAAAAAATGTGTACACAAGAATTCCTAACATAAAGAATACCTAAGAATTCCTGGGAATACCTGAGAATTCCCGGGAATTCCCGAGAATTCCTGGGAATTCCCAGATACTTCCTGAGAATTCCCTGGAATTCCCAGACACTTCCTGGGAATACCCAGAGACTTCCTGGGAATACCCAGAGACTTCCCGGGAATACTCAGAGACTTCCCGGGAATACCCAGAGACTTCCCGGGAATACCTAGAAAATACCTGGAATACTGAGAGAATAACTGAGTATATCCAGATAATGCCCGAAAAATATATGAGAATAACCAAGTATATCTAAAGATTTATCTAGAGTTAGTAAATAAGGTCCTTAATGAGGTCCTTAAATTATTAGGAAAATAAATAATTGTTTCCCTCACTTTAGATCATATTTTACTTTTGATAAAATATAAGAAATAAAAAGATAAGATAGGTATTAACTGTGGGGGAAAAATTTTAACTTTGGAAAAAAATCTGATGGGTCCAATACATGACTTTCCTATCTAGTTATTAGGTACAGGCTTTTTCCGGTTATTTTGTACAACCTATTGTATCATCCCTGTAAATGTTTAGAGGATGAACTAAATACATTTTCCACGTGCATCTTACTCGAAACATTTTTTATATTTGGTGTTTTCTCCGTTTTTAAACTGAAATTCGAAATTGCAGTTTATCTCAAATATCTCGACTACGGTCCATTTTAGGAAAATCATGTATATAACAAAAAATATAAAGAATAACATTTAAGAAAAATTATGTATGGGACAAAAATTATAGAAAATTATATTGCAAACAACTTTTATTCAAAAAAATTTCTTCTCCAATAGTAAATAACGGAGATATTCGTTAAATTAAAAAAACGACCCCCTATAAAACACCCCCAGATGCTTCAACTATGTCCATAATTTAGACAACTCACCACAGAATGTATTTAAGCTTAAGTTTAAAATTTGGTGTTTTTCTCTTTATTCATTTTTGAGATATAATTTAAAATTCGAAATTTTCACATTTCCTCAAATTTTTCGAATACGGGTCATTTTGATAAGATTAAGTATGCAACCAAAATTATCTCGAAAATTATAGAGAATAATATTGCAAACAACTTTTATTCAAAGAAGTTTATTCTCCAAGTGTAAATAACAAATGGATATATTCCATAAAGTAGGAAAATGACTTCCCATAAAGTGCCCCCCTCCCAGATGTTCCGACTATGCCCAAACTACATTTAGCTCACCGCAGGGTAGATTAAAGCTTAAGTTTATAATTTGGTGTTTTTCTCTTTATCCGTTTTTCAGTTCAAAATTTTCACTGTTTCTCAAATTTCTCGAATACAGGCCATTTTAGGATATTTATGTATGGGGCAAAAATTATAAAGAATAATATTTTAAACAACTTTTATTTGAAGAAGTTTCTTCTATAATCGTAAATAACAGATATATTCCATAAAGTAGAAAAACGACCCTCTATAAAGTACCCCACCAAATGCTCCGACTATGTTCAGATTTAGGCTTAAATTTATAATTTGGTTTTCTTCTCTTAATCGGTTCATGAGTTATCGAGTGCGCACGCGCACGCGCACACGCACACGCACACGCACACACACACACACACACACACACACACACACACACACACACACACACACACACACACACACACACACAGACATCATCGCGAAAATAGTCAAATCGGATTCAGGACCCCAAAACGTAAAAATCCGTCGAAAACTGGAGGTCGAAAAAAATTATGATTACTATACTTTCCTTATCTGTATACAGATAGGAAAGTAAAACATCATGTTAATAAATAATATATTTCATTTTTTAACATTTTGCTTGCTTAATATCGAGCTTAATATTTAACAAATTAATGCACATAATATAATCGTCAAAACTAAAAATAAAAACTTATTTGTGTTTTTTATAACATCCTCATAATTTAAATATTTTATAGCACCGTGTGTGGCCAAAAATTACTAAGTAATGTGTTTTATAAATTTTTATTGAGACATTTTTTTATTTATTAAAAAAAAATACAATTTTATATATTTTTATTAAAAACGTGTTATTTATTTAAAATAAAACAAAGTAATAAAAAATAAAAACAAATTATTTAAAACTCAAACTGTTGCACGCTTATATTCTTTATATATTTTCTTTATTTCTTCTTTTGTTTCTCTGGATATACTAAACGGTTTAAAACCTAATAAAGTTATTGGCCCGAATAGGATGAATTCCTTTTTAACTGTTTGTATATCATTCTTGTTAGGCCAATAATAGTGACCTAAGTCTTCTTTTAAAAACTTTATCCTATACAAGTCATCATTTCTAGTTTCTATTATTTTTCCGATGTACCACGAGTCATCGTAGTAGATGGCGTAATATTTATCAGTTTCTATTAAATTGACAGTGCTTTTCTTGCAATTTTTAGAAGCGGCAAATTCTGGGACCCCCCTAACTCTTATAATTCTGTCCGAACTTAATTTATTGGATTGCTCTTCTAGTAACCAACATAATGTTGTTTTTCTAATTGTTTTATATTTATTTCCAATTTTTATGTGCACTACATTTTTTTTTGTTTTAGTATCATAAATATTCAGGGAAGTAAAGTTTTTCAAAATATTTCCTCCTTCAGAAGTGGTCTCAGCCGACATCTCAGCTTGGACTTCAATAATTTCTTGTTCTCTGTCAGCTTCACTTTCTGAGGTAATATTTTGAAAAGGTTCTTGACCTTCAATTATGTTATCACTTTGTTTTAAGTTTTCATTTATTTGTTTTACACATAATTTTCCTAAAATGGCCCGTATTTGAGAAATTTGAAGATAAGTCAAAATTTCGAATTTTGAACATAACTCAAAAAGGGATAAAGAGAAAAACACCAAATGTTCAATTTAAGCTTAAACACATTCTGTGGTAAGCTGACTAAATTTTAGGCACCGTCGAAGCATCTGGGGGGGGGGGGGGGGGGGGACTTTATGGGGGTCGATTTTTTTACTTTAACGAATTTGTTATTTATGATTAAAGAAGAAATATTTTTGTGAAAGTTTTTTGCAATAGCATTTTTTATAACTTTTGTGCTCGCTTTAGTGCCATACATAATTTTTCTTAAATGGTCTGTATTGTAGAAATTTAACAAAAAGTACAATATTTGAATTTTTTAAAATGAACCGTATTCCAGATATTTTTGGAAAACTGCAAATTTCTAATTTCAGTTTAAAAAAGAAAAAGAAAAAAAACACCAAATATAAAAAAGTATGTGGAAAATGTATGTATTTAATTCATCCTCTAAACATTAGATTATACAAAATAACTGGAAAAAGCCTGTAATAACTAGATAGGAAAGTCATGTGTTGGACACATCAGAATTTAATAGAGAATTGCCAAAGAATACCTGAGAATTCCTGGGAATACCTAAGAATTCCTAATAATACCTGAGAATTCCCAAGAATACTTGGGAATTCCTGAGAATTCCCGAGAATACCTGGGAATTCCTAAGAATTCCCGGGAATTCCCAAACAGATGTACACAAGAATTCCCAATGTATTTACCCCTCGATTTTTGATAAAAGATAATGAATTGCTCAACTTTTGTAAGTATATTTGTCTCTAAATTCAAGAAGCAGAAATTGTTATTTTATTTTATGTTCTTCATTTTTATATTTTTTGCAATTGATGACTTCCTACCATAATATATAGGTCAGAGTAACTTTAAACCAAATCATTATATATTTTACATTTCGGTCATGCACAGTGTTTAATCACTAAGGTGCATTTATTTGTACAAGCTTAAGTATTTTGTTAGTACCTCTTATTATGTTATCATATCATGCATATTATATAACTTGAAATGAATAAAATTGAAATTAGGTAGGTACATGTGTTTTAGGTCATCATTCCAAGGACAATTTTACGAATTTTAGTATGTTCCTTAGAGTTCATAAAATTGTTACTAATACCAAGTTAACTAAAAAAAAATTAGGCAGTAAAAAATTGATCCTACCCAGAAAAACAAATAGTCATAGGAACATGGTTTAAGTGTAACTTTTAATATTGATGAATATCTTTAAAATTAAAATTTACAAGTTCAACACCCTGTATTTCAAAAACTAGTCATAGAAGAACTTTGTGTCCATAGACACTTTTAATTAGGTCAAAAACTGCAACATATATAAAAATTCACCAAAATCGACTCGACACCATTTGCTATAAGGAAACTGCAGAAATACTATATATTGTGTTGATTATCCAATTGTTCATCTAAGTATTTGCTTGATAAAGCTAATTGTTATGCTTAAGGTGTTCATTCGTCATTACTTTATGTTAAATCCCAATTGGGGGGACCTCTTTTTATTGTGTAAACGCTGTGACTTTGTAAACAAACGCTAGAGATATTGTATTTAGTTTCAGTTATAGAGTTGATAAGAAATAAAAGCATTTATGCATCCACGTTAATGTGTTTTGTTACTTTATTTTCATAACTGAAAATATTCAGATTATTATTATCCAATATATAACACTGTTAAACAATAGCAAAATATGGAGATAAATATTTTACCTTAATGTCAATAAGCAACCCTTCCACAGGTCTATAAGAATTATGAATTGACAAATGGAAACTAAGTTGTTCCATTAATAACAATTCATTGTTTAAAATAATGTCTGTAGCTTTCTCTCGATCTCCTTTAATGTTGGCTACAAACTGTTGGATAGAAACATTAAATTCTTCTACTTTACAAGCTAAATATATGCAGGTGACCCTAAAACAGAATACTACTAGTAGGTATATTACATATATACAAAACAATAATGATTCGTTAGTCAGGGGGTTAAACAAGAATGATAACTGAACGTTAATTTATGATATTTTTATGTAGATTATTAAAAAGTACAGAAAATCTAACTAAAGACCTTTACTATAATAGGAAATACATTCTGGATTTTTTTAAGTTCTCTAGAGCTTGAAGTTAAAGTTTTTTTATACCAAAAACGGAAAGTTTATTATTTCCTATTTAATAAATAAAATTGTTTGAAAGTTTGTCAAGCATTAGGTTTTACTATTAAAGTAAGATTATTAACTTATTCTAAGATTGTATTTATTAGGTGAACCCCTTAACAATTAATACCCGAAGTAGAATAAATTAATTTTTAGTTTATGGCTCATCTAAAAAATACAGTAAAAACTCACATAATTTCTTTTGGGTGGTAGTTCATGACAGAATTATTTATGTAAAATCGCTTAAAGTAATGAAAAGAAGTTCCAACAACGTATCTAGGCATAGGTGGTTGAAATCTTTTACAAAAATCTCTTAGATGAAGTTCAAATCGTTTAACCATTATCTTTTCTTCCTCGGGAGTAAGGAAAAATTCGTATTTAGAAGCATCCTAAAATCAAAACAGTAAAATTAATATTTCCTCCTTTTAATAAAACTGGTGTCCCTTACATTAACTTGTTTTCCATAAGTTTGAATATGCCTAGAATTTGCCTTTTCCCTAAGTTTGTTGAGATCTTCTTCACTCTCAAACATCCAATATTTACACTGTGTACTTGTAGGAAACATTATTATGTTTGGTTAGTAAATAAATGAACTATTAACAAATAAAAATTAAATTAGAATTTTTTTGGTTTTTCAGAAATTGTAGGTTATCTAAAACACAAATTTTTGACAGTTAAAATAGCGCCATCTAGTGAAAGCTGATATAAGTTATTAGTACTTCTATTTTTTGTTTAACCTAGATGTCGCAAATCGAATTTTAATATTAATAAATAAATATACTAAAAATGTTTTGACTTTGTAAATAATAATTTAGTGGATATATGAGTAGATTTTTTATTTGATTTGAATTGTATGAATTAAATTTTAATATAAATAAAAAAATGCAATTACAGGTTTCTGTTATAAAATTTTGTTCTAAAATGAAAACTATCGCATATTCCTTGTAGATGTCTCTAGTAGTATCTTAACACTTGATTTGGATAAATTTTAAGTGAGCGTTTGGATTAGAACATTATACAGGATGTCGCCTTTAAAAGGCCCTACCAGAAGTTTTCATAATCATTAATATGTTGTGATATGGTTAAGATAAATCTTTTTGTTCGTAGGGGGATGTGGCATACGTAGTAGATACATCAAATTAACTATTTAGGGTGAGATTACAGAACGTCTGCAACTTTGCAGATCTGCAAATATGGCGGCAACTTTGAAGATCTGCAAATATGGCGGACTTACAGATGCAAGTATCAAGTTTTGTATTCCAAAAAATATTTGCAAATTAGCAAAATTTATTGTGGTTTATTGCGAATTTTCAGATATTTTTTGGAATACGAATACTTGATACTTGCATCTGTAAGTCCGCCATATTTGCAGATCTGCAAAGTTGCAGACGTTCTGTAATCTCACCCTTAAAGATTTGTGTTTGCTGTTTTGGTAGGCAGGTCCCAGACAACACACGACATCTTAAAGACGTTTGTTTTATGTCGTAGTTATGATTAAACGCCTAAAGACTTAAAAAATACGTTTTAAGGACGTCTTTATAAATACGTCTTTTAGGACACATAAATAGACGTCTTAAAGACGTATTTTAAACAGTGGCGGCTGGTGGGCACTAGCGGCAGTGGGGCACACACTGGAAAGGAATCCCGGGATTCGTTTTTCCCTTAGAAAAACAAGTTCTCCGCTTAATGAAAATTAAATATATTTCAAAACAATCAGTTGGGGCAATAACAATTTCTGAATGTGACTAGAGGGAGCTAAATGTACCTAACCACTTAAAATGCATTTAACTATGTATCTATTTAATCAAAACATCATCCCAGATAGCACAGGACGTACTAAGGACGTCCAGTATATGTCCAGTTAACGTCTGTACGTCCGGGACCTATTATGGACGTTTTAAGTATGTCCAGTTTAGTAAATCCTCGGGACGTCAAGAAATAGATATCCGCAGAACGTCAATTCTACGTACTTTACTATATTTCCACGGATTCACATTGTATTATTATTTGGTTATATTATATAAAAAACATATATAATGAGATAATATAAATAATTAATAAAGATGGCATTGTCCCAATATCCACTTGAATGAAGGCCAAATAGACAAAAACGAAGAAGATAATTTGCAAGAAAGTGACATTTTTGACAAGTGACATTTTATTTATTAGGCATTCCAACGACCTGTCCAAATGGCTACCAGTGGGTAATGACAGTTTAGATATGGCAACCCTGTTGTCATGTTGTCATTAACAGGGTCAATGATACATATATAGTTATATAGATTGCTCAAAGCTGGTCGTTTACGAGCGGCCATATTGTCTGGCAAATATTTATTAATTTGAATCGGTTTAGCAAAAATGTGTTTTAAAACCAATTATTAGCCTTTAGATATTTAAAAAAAAATAATTGCTTACATTTTTACTTCAAGGCATAAGCTTATGTTTATTTTGAAAAATATGGATGATCAATCTATGTAACTATCTATTTCATTGACCTTGTCAAATCACCAGACCTACAGGGTTGCCATCATTTTGCCATATCATAACCCGTCAAAACCCACTGGTAGCCATTCAGTTTGGAATGCCTAATTATTTTTATTTATTAAAGGTATGGTCCGTTATTAACCGAAATATCGGTTGCTCGGTCCAAAACTAACCTCTCTACTTGACATTCCTGAAAAATCGGTAAATTTAGGGACGCGGTTACCTGAAAAATGGTGACTTAAACGTCAATTTACTAACCGCTATATTTTTACGGTTACTATTAAGTCGAATGTCCATCTGTCACAAAAGTGACGTAAATATCGGCCGTGGTCCAAAAGTAACCAAGAAATTAGTTGTTTTTCAGGAACCGCTGTCAAAAAATCCTGGTTACTTGCGGTTAGTAGTCGGTTAATAACGGACCATACCCTTAGATATAATTCAGATTCAAGCACTGAAGGGAAATATTCTCAAGGCTCAGGTTTTATTAAAAACAAGAAAAAAAGTGTTCAATGTTCACGATTCGATGGTATATACATATTATACTATAATTCCGTCATTTGTACCATTTTTGTATCTGAGAAAGGTGGAAGTTTTTCAAAGCTAAAAGGTTAGTGAATTTATAATGTCTAGCAAGGCAAACTAAAACAAACAGATTGGATTTTAATTTTGATATGCCTTTTATTTTGAATAAGCGATTAAATTATTTTCAGATTCAGTTGAGAAGGCAAATATGACCAAATCAAGATAAAAACTGACTGCTGTCAATCCAGGCATGGTTGAAAAGAGCAAAGTAGAGGAGTTTTCCAGTGAATACTACAAAGCTAAAAGATTAGTGAATACATAATGTCTAGCGGGGCAAACTTAAACCAACAGATTGGATTTTCATATTGATCTGCTTTTCATTTTGAATAAGCCATTAAATTATTTTCAGGTTTAACTGAGAAGACAAATATGACCAAATCAAGAAAAAAATAACTGCTGTCAATCCAGGCATGGTTGAAAAGAGCAAAGAAGAGGAGTTTCCAGTGAATATTACAAAGCTAAAAGGTTAGTGAATTCATAATGTCTAGCAGGGCAAACTTAAACAAACAGATTGGATTTTCATATTGATCTGAATTTTGAATAAGCGATTAAATTATTTTCAGGTTCAACTGGGAAGGCAAATATGGCCAAATCAAAAAGAAAAAAAAACAACTGCTCTCAATCCAGGCATGATTGAAAAGAACAAAGTAGAGGAGAGACGAAAAAGTTTTAATAATTTCACTATTTATAGGTTATTTGCTTCCAAATAAATTTTTTTGAAATTATTCATTATTTTCACTAATTTCCTTAAATCCTATTATTCCCCATTTGAGCTTTTGAAAATGTCCATGGAATGTCCTTAAATGGACGTTCTTAAGACATCCTGATTATTAACAATGGACGTTCCAAATACGTCCATAAGACGTCCACGGCCGTGAAATGGACGTTTTAAGGATGTCCTGAATGTCCAAGCAGGACGTTTTTAGAACGTCCATAAGACGTATTTGTGCTATCTGGGATCACATATCCACTCTTGCGAAATTTGCCTAAATTTCTCAGAAGAATGCAATTTACTTAACAATTCTAACTTGTTAACGCATTTTAAATCATACGACTCTGAAGAAAAAGTGTTTGGCAATTTAAAATCTCCCAGCGAAAAATTTGTCTTTTATATTTTCAAATTAGAAAAAATATTTATATCTCTATTTGATAGTTTGTCAACTAAGCCTAGAATTTCCAACGCATACCTTTTTGAGATGAGCAAAATAGAATTTGGTCATCCTTGCCAAAAATTTGCGAAAATGTACGCCATTAAATTATTTATAAGACTCAGAATTTTTTATACTATTAAATATACAAACAGAGATTTGAAATCCTCGAAAAAGTCCAAAGAAAAATTAAAATTTTGTCCCATTTATAATTATTGATTTTTTTCAGCATATTTTTGACTGCTTTGTAAAAAAAAAGTTATTTTTCTTTGTAGTTTTATTTCTTAACTATTCCAATGGTCCAACTAACGTTTTTTCGTGATCACAATAAATAAATTATTATTATGGTCCAACAAACTCGCACCTTAAGCCGAAACCGGCATCGCCTTTGTTAGGGAGCCGGTAAAGATGGCGCCGCGTGCATTCGTATCTGGTCTAAGTTCTGTGCCATGGGTACAGCACGTTACGATAAGGACAGCGCCCCGCTTGTTATAATCCATCGCATGTGTTCATCTCTTGCTAAGCGATATTGTCGTTGTCCTTGTTTTTCGCATCATAATAAGAGAGAAAACAACAGAGGCACATATTTACTGTGCCCTGTGCCCATCTTCAACTTAATTTCGGAATTCTCGGAACGTCGCTTAACGCCCGGTCGTCCAGTGTTGTACCAACGCGGTTTACGCTGAATATTAGATAAAATAATAATAGGCATTGAGGAAAATATAAAATATGTAAGTTATTTTTTTTTTTGTTTATTATACTAGGGCACGTGCCCAAGTGCCCTTACAAGCAAACCGCCACTGCTTTTAAATGTCTATCTATTTAAGGCCAAGTTCAATGTCAAGTGACGGCGACTTTTTTATCACAAGAAATACAGCTCTGAACGATAATATTTAAAAAAACTGTTTTCATAAATGGGTACAAAAAACTGTAAAAAATGATGGAAAGTCTATGGTTTGTTTTACTTTTAATGCATAATATTTTAATAAGTGATATTTAACAAATATTTAAAAGTTATGGACTTTCCATCATTTTTTATAGTATTTAGAAGTTAAAACGCAGCATACATTCTTTTATTTTTGCCTAATTATTTCAGGATTCTTGTGATAAGATTTAAAAATGTAGGGCCCATAAGATGCTGCCATCTGAACAGACGGAATAGACACTAAAAATTGAAAAATTGCAACATCGCTCCCTATACAGACGAATGTAAAATGGCTTAGCCCAATTTGACCATGTTTATGGGTGAGGGGCGAGGTGGTGTGCGGGGAAAGGTTACAAGTAAATAAATTCTATAAATAAATGCTATTTTCTGTTTGGAACACAACACAAGCATGTTTGTTTTGAAAGTTTGACGTTTATGGTTTGAAGTGTCATTTCAATTTAATGGACTTTAATAATTTAAAAGATGCAATGTACTTATATTATTTATATATATTATTGTAGATCCAGGTATGTTTTCGG